CCCTGCTCTCAGTCTTCCTCAGTTCTCTCTACTCTCATACTTGGTGATCTTACTTGGGTCAATAGGTTCTCATCATACAAAAAGTGCATTTTTTCCTAAATTGAATTGAATTAGCTATTTCTAGTTAGCATAGAAATATTTACACACTCTTTTATAAGGTAGATGGAGGGATACAGCATGAAGAAAATAAATGATCAAGGTTGTGGATTGGTATGTGTAAAGTGTCAAGGTACAGAACATTTCTACCATTTTTTGTATTTGTCCAGGCCTGATCTTGGTCATGGTTAATCTATGATATAGAGATGGATAATTAGGAATCAACTGTATTTTTGCAGTACTCCTCAGCTAAGGAAGGTGATATCAGATTTGAATATGATAGAAGATCATCAGAACCTGAAAGGATTGCTGAGATTATCTAGTCCAATTCAGAAAAAGATAGTAATACCTTAAGGTTATATAGTGAATTAGTGATGGGGATGGGGATGGCATCTGAACCTCTAAAGGAAAAGACCATGTCTTTGGGATCTGGACCCCAAAAAGGAAAAGCCCTGGACTTTTCCACATGGCCAAATCTCTGGCATTTATCTGAGGCCATAATCCTATTAACTGGCCTTTCATTAGAGCCTATGCCCAATCTCCAGATTCTCTGTTACCCTTAACCTAGCTTAGCCCTCCATTGTGTTACCCCACTATGGCCCCTGGCCACTTCCCTTAATCTTTAATCCTATCTAAACTCTACTCTCCCTTGGCCACTTGGTCCAGGTCCTTGGCATTCTGTTACCTCAAGGTCACCCCAGCTTACTGGCCACTCCTATCCAGATCATCCTTAGACCCTTCCTCCAGTCACCCCAGACTACTTGGCCACTCCTAGATACCTCCCACAGTCTTTCTGTATATAAGGTCCATCTGGCCTCCATTAAGGTGCTCAGATTCTTAAGATCTGGCCGGCTTGCATTAGCAATACAAATGCTTAGATTCCTTAAGAGTCTGGCCAATATGGCAGATTCTTTAAATCTCACCCACCCCTGCCTGATGTTCTAATAAACCTTGTCTTTGGCTGAAAGAAGGCTTGGGTCAAATTCATTTGGGCTGAACCTGTGTGTCATGATTTGGATCCCAGCACCCTTAAATCCCTAAACCTCAACAATGGGACTGAGATTTGAACTCAAGTCTCTTGATTTTTTAGGCAAATTAGGTCAACAAGTATTTATTAAGTGCCTGTGATGTGCCAGGCTCAGGGCTCATCTAATGGTCTTTCTTTCGTATTACCCTCTTGGTAGCATGGTCCTTGCTGCATAATAAATCCTTGTTAGTCATCATGGAAACCTTCCTGATGAGAAAAGAACAAAGGAATCAAATACTAGAGAACAGAGAGATTCCTTTAGCAATAGGAAGAAAGAACAAGCCTCTTAGAGCAGGTTGGAACACTCAGACCAGGCTTAGTTTCAACGGATCATTGAAGGAGTCTTTTTTCCTAGACTGGTCTGCTATCCACAGAAATAATAAGCAGTGAGACCATTTTTAAGGACAACTTACTGTAAAAAGATCGTCAAAAAGACCTAGAATGAATTTCATAGATTCATACGATCTTGGAAGAAGAAAGGTCAAATTTACAGCTGTAAGTGCACACAAAACTCCCAAGTGCCACTTGAACTAGATTAAAATGTAATTGGGAAATGCTTAACAAAGTAAATAAAACTATAACAGAGATAATGTTAATTTGTGGTTTTCTAATTCAACATATGGCTTGTAGGGATCTATTTCTATTTGAATGTGACACCACTGCACTACACCCACCCATACCTGAGCAGAATATGCTTTCTAAGGTCCATGACAAATGGTTATCCAACTTTTCCACTGATGGGCAACTTATGGTGCCACCAAATGGACAGTTTCTCTTTTGGATAGCTTTAATGATTATTTCCCCCTATATTCCCTATATTAAGCCCAAATTTTCCCTCTTCAACTTTAAATCATTGGTCCCAGTTCTTAATTCTGGTGCTAAGCAAATCTAACCTCTCTTGTATATAACAGCCTTTTAGTTACTGGAAGACAACTATCATGTCTTCTCTAAGTCTTTTCTCCTCTTGCCTAAATATTCCCAGTGCCTTCAATATATCTTCTTGCCATATAGAATTTGTCCTATTGTCAATAACTAGAGTGACTGTTCTTGCAGCCTGAGCCAGCACTGGTATTGGTGAAGAATGAGAATGAGTAGAGATGAGTGGCCTGGGAGATGACTAGAGAAAACACCAAGATGGTAGCTGAAACTCTTTGGAGAGCCCCAAATGACCACCATGATGGTGCTCCTTGCCTTGATGAAAGACTCCAAGGCTCTTTGCCTTGGTTCAAGTGTTGTTACTTTCAATTGCTACCTACCCTTTTGTCTGGGGGCTTACTGCTGTTTTCCTGAGTCAGCAGTTATCTTTACCTGAGACCTTAGAGTATCCACAAATACATTTCTGCTAAGTTTTGCATTTTTTTTCCTAATAGGATCAGACTCAAACTCATCTTGCTCAAAAATGACTTAAAAAGGGTATTTAGATGTATATTGGATAAGCTCTTTGAACCAATGGGGAAAGGAATTGAAGCAAACCTGATTTACTTTTATATTTAACACTGATGCAAGCTTAAGGCTAGATGTCCCTGCCTTGGCATTTAGGTGCAATATTTATTAACCCTCAGGCATTTTGTAGGAACCTCTGTATTTAACCTAAATCTCTAGAAATAAACAGGACTGTGATTTTCTTTAAATTGGTACTTATGTAGTGGAGTCTTTAAAGCATTAGTGTTTACGTGATTGCTTTCAGACATTACTTTGGCAATAGAATGACTACAGTGAAATTAGCATCAAGCACAATGAATGGTAATTGTAAGACTGTCATTTCTACAAGTACAAAATTAATGTAACCCACAAGCCCATCCCAATTGTGTGCCACAAGGAAAGCACAGAATTCCTGTTGTTTGGAAGAGAATGATACTCTATAATAATACCCTTAATGTGAGATCATCTTCTTCAATGGATTCCTTTCCCACTTCTGTTACTGTTTTGTACTTTTCTTTCATCCCCATCTAACATCATTTGTATTACCATATTAAAAGCAATGCCAAATGTAGCCTGGATGTATAGAGGATATTTTCCAACAATGCATTCCTCTCTGGGTGGCATTGCATAAGACTAATGCTACTATAAACAACTCTTCATGTATTCATCATGGCACAGTCTCTATGAATGGGGTGTTTATGTAAAGCTTCTTATTAAGAGATGCAACAATTATTCACTGAGGACTTTACCCAAAAGCTTTACATTCCTTTACAAAGTAAACCGGGATTTAACTCATAAATCAGGAAAGTGGAAACTCTCCCTCTTTGCCTTCTCTTTTTAATTCTAATTTTAGGTACAGGAAAATTTAGCAATCAATAAGTTACATGAATTTTCCAGCTCATATACTAATACAGGGTTTATGAAAGGATTATACTTTGGGGTCTCTAAAGTCAACTGTAACAACAACAACCATTTTTCAAGTGCCTGTTGTGAATTGAGAATTGCACTAAATGCAAAAATTAGGTAATCCATGGTTCCTGCCCTAAATGGGGGATAACACCAGTGCAGAGAGATACAATACCTAACATTATAGGACAAGTGCATTTAGAGGAGGTGCAAAACAGTCTCCTGTGGTCTGAAGGGGAAGATCATGGCTGCCTAGGGGAGAAGAGATAGGAGGTGATGTGTGTTAGTCATTAAGGAACAAATTCAATAAGTCTGGAGTGAGGAGAAGGAGGGGAATGAAGGGAATCTATGTAGAGTAAAGAATGTATGTAAAGATGAGCAGATGTGCACACAGTGTGTGTTTGTGGGCCTGGAGTACAGATAGAAGATGTATGAGATAAGACTGGAAAGAGAGGGTAGTGCCATATTTTATAAAGCCTTGAATGTCAGAAAAAGGAGTCTGAATTTTACTCCATAGGCATTTGGGAACCACTGAAGATTTTTGACAAACTGAGTAATATTACCAGATTGATGCAAGAAAAAAAAGATTATCCTACAAATGGTATGAAGGATGGAATGGAAAAGTGAGAGAATATAATATATAGTCAAAGGAAATCTTTATTAGGAAACTAGGGGACCATTCAGAATCAGTCTGCCTGACTATTTCCAGAGAACCTGGATTTTCTACCTGGTCAGGGTCTCTTAGAAGTCCAGTCATTTAGCTAAGAATGTATGTTTTCACTTACAAGACCTCAGCATTCTCAAGAGCAGACCTAATGAGGTACTCTTAAGGAGTTAGACTAACCCCATACTCCTCATAGCCCAGAAACATTAAAGACACACATGAACACGTGTTTTACTACTAACTCAGGTCAAAGAGCTACTGTAAGACTAGCAACAACCACAATAATAACTACAACAGATATTTAAGAATGTTTGAAGGTGCTGTACCCAGATTATCTCATTGAATCCTCACAACAACATTGTTAAGCAGGTGTTGTTATCATTGCCATTTTGAGAGATTGTAACTGCCCAGGACATCTTTGAAGTATCTGAGGTGGGATTCCAACCTAGCTTTTCCTGACTCCAAAGCCAGAATTCTATTCACTTCATCACCATGCTGCATCTTTGTTGTCCTGACCCCCCTCCCCCACCTCAGTGACATGCCAGAGTCAGGCTTAAAGCCATCTTTTGGATGTCAATCATTGTACCATTCACCATCAGGGTGAGAACCAGCTATTTAGTTTGTGATATTCAAGTCAATTGTCTAGTAGAATGTGAGAGAAATTGAATATAATTATTTCCTTTATGAGGATTACTAAGTAATAAAGATGACGAAGAAGTTAACTTCATGTCTATTATAGTAGTGGGATCTTGAGCATCATTCTTTTCCAGGTAAAGTCCTCTCTGTGACTGGCTAACCCTATTTCACCAAACGGGTGATTTGGGCCTATGAAGAGGAACAATAGCGAACATGGAAAAACAGCAACAGCAACTAGTCCCATCTTACCTTTTATGCAAAATGGTCCATCATAGGCAGTCTTGGAGCAATCACAGGAATAACCATTGTACTTCTCCACACATTTGCCTCCATTTTCACAGTACATTCCATAGCTGGTGCAATGGCCTGAGCACCCAGGTTTCACTCCTAGAGTGACTTTTGCTCTTTCTTCCAAATCAAGAGTTACCCCATTCATCCTGAGGGAGCGAATACAACCTAGAAATCCCCTCTGGCCTCCTGCAGCACCTGAGAGACAACAGGAGAGAGACCTGATTTAATGAGCTTCATTTATTGTCCCTGTCCTCACAGAGCTAATCATGCCTTGAACAACTGTGGTAGAAGATAAATTGAGAATGTTAAGAGAATCCTAGCATTCTTACTTTCAAGTTGGTCCTGTCAAAATCTACTAAGCTGAAGCTTTTCCCCCTTAGGCTGTGGCACCTAATTAAAAAAAAAGGCCCACTTTTGAGAGGCAGCCGGATTTGCAGCTGAAATAAAATATTTGGAGATATCCAGACATTTTATAAGCTGTTTTGGATGTCAAGTCTGGTTTCCTGTAGGAAGGTGGATGAAAAAAAATCCCTGTGTGTCTTTGCTCTTTAATCTTAGGCATTCAATCCCATTGCACAATCTACTAAAAGAAAAATAAAAAGGCAGAGAGACATGAATATATTAGCATAGTTAACAAGTCAATTAGTCAGGAGGCAAAAACGTACTAGAAACCAGACTGGATATCTGGATACTTGCCTCAGAAACCTCCTTCTTCTGATTCTACATTAAAGTATCTTGTCCTTCATCCAAATTTACAATTTTAAGTAGAAGAAAGCTAACTGCATTACATTTCTTATTAGTTAAGGTTAGGCTTTCTAACTTGGAGTCAAAAATTTGTAGAACAAAGAATGAGTATAATAGATCTATAAAGTTGGGTGATATAATGATGATGATGCAAGCATAAAAGAGTGAAAAGAGTTCTGGTTTTGAAGAAAGAGAACCTAGGTCAAATCTCAACTCTATTGCTTACTACCCATTTGACCTCGGGCATATTACTTATTTTTCTCTGGGCCTCAGTTTCCTCATCTATAAAAAGAGGGGATAGGAAAAGATGATCCTTTGTTTTTACTAGCTCTAAATCTTTGAGCTTGATCCATAATTTCATTGGTATGAGGAATTCATGGTGTTAAAGTCAATAGCAATGGAGATAAACAATTTGTCTCTATACAGTCTAAGGGAGATACCTAGGGCTTTGAAAAGTAAAATGATTTACTCAGGGTCACATAGTGTATACCAGAGACAGGGCTTAAACTCAGGTATTTCTGATTGTTATGCCAGACCTTTAGCTACCATACCATGATTCCTTTCTATGATGTTGCAGAGTGATTTTCTGAGCATGGAAGAGGTAACATGTCAGTGAAAATTTCATAGAACAAGTCATGTCAATTTCGATATAATCTTTAACATAACTGAAGCTATCATCCTGGATCTGCCACTTACAATGACCCTGGGCAAATCACTTAACCTCTCTAGGCCTCAGTAGCATGATAGGATTGGATGAGATGACATTTCAGGTGCCTTCCAGCTATAAATCTATGATCCTATGAAATTATTAGCATTTCTAAGAAAGCCATCATATATTTTTACCTGGCCCCATAGCTAAGCTCAAAGACATGATGCCTGAACTGTGGGAGAAAAGATATGTAAATAGCTAGATGGAGAAAGAGTGGTGGGGAGAGAAATAGGACTAGAGGGAGAGAGAAAGATAGAGAAGGTAAAGAAGGGAAGAAGAGAGGGAGGGAATGGATGGAAAAGGAAGGAAAGGAGGGAGAAGGAAAAGGGACAGTAAGAGATGGGAGAGAGATTCTAGAAGTAATGTGTATGTGTAAAAGACAACATATAGCATCTATTTTCTGGAATTAATCTTAACTCAGCTCCAGTTAAAATTAGGTCCTGGGCATTGTGATAAGGCTCCAAATAAAAAGGACAGAGTGAAAAAAGAATTGTACAGGATCCTCTACTATATGAGCTTCCCAGAAATAGTTTCTTCAGGCTAGAGGAATCTAGAGGAATTTGTCTTCAAGTATGAGAGTGAATTTGGTTTGGAAAGGGATTACTGTAAAGGTCTGTGTGAGCCTGGGCAAGTTAAAATTGACCAGGTTGGGTGATTTGCTGTTATTTCAAGTATTTCAAGAGTGTCATGTGCTCCAGACTTCTGGTAGAGCTAATTTCTTTAAAAAAATAAACAACTAAAACTTTTATAAAACTAAAACTTTTATAATAAATATATATAATAAATCTTGTCACTGTGTACCTATTAGAAAAGGACAACTAATGGGGTAGCTAGGTGATGCAGTGAATAGAGCACTGGACCTGGACTTAGGAGGACATGCCTTCAAATCCACCCTCAGAATGATAAATTTAGCTGGGTCTTTGTCTTTCAGAGCTTGAGCAGTTTGTTTTCCTTGTAATGGATATACTTGGCCTTGTTTGCCCTTTAGTCACTGAGTAATGCATAAAATTTGGTTACTCTTCATAACGGCATTTCTATATTTTTCTGAAGTCTCTACTTATAAAAAGCAGTCCAGATCAGTTACAGTTTCTCACCCTCCCTCCCTTGGTGGCCTCCCACAATTTAGTTTCATTGTCTGATATAAGGGAGATTTCATTTAAAGATGTTTAATTACCTTGAATGGGTGTGATGTTTCTGTCTGATAGCTATCCAAAGCTGTCAATATCTTCAAATTAGTCTTAAAAAAAACTCTCTACATGATCTGAAGAAGCTATTTTCTTTTGTCAGAGGGGTCTGAAGTGTGTGGGAGAATTATATGCCTGTGTTGGACACATCAGGGAGCCTTTGCCCAAGCTAAGCTGTTAGATAGCCTTAGGGAAACTCTGGAGTGATAAACTTATAGTTGCAAAAACACAATATTGGACATTAGGACTGTAAAACAAAATAGTCGTTGAAAAATTTTCCCCATGCTGTTGTGTCTTCACAAGGCTAACACCATTTGGAAAAAAATTAACCATCTACTTCTAAAGGTATTATCCCCCAACTGGGCTTTTGTTGTTTCTGGTCTCTCATCAACAATAGGTCCCAGCCAGACCAAAAAAATTGGATTTGATTGGAGTGGGAATGGGACAGGAAAAAGGGCTAAGAAGGAAAGAAAAGCTCAGAACAGAAATAAATGTTGATTTCAAACTGTGACTTGCAGGTAGAATAGAAAGGGTAGCTCTGATAGTCCAGAGAACAAGGATAAGGCAATATGGTAGCTTTTTAAGGTCAAAGGGTAAAGCTAGTAAATTGCTCAATGCCTCTCAATCTCAAAAGGAATTTTCTAAACCCCTACTCATTCCCTCAGAACTTGATGGCGAAGCAAACACAGATTGATTTTCAAAAGAAACTTTTGAAATTTGAAAATAAAAGCAGAGAAACAAGTTTTTATTTTGTTTTGTTTTGCTTGTAGTTAAAAAGGGGCTCTATGAAATTTTTGTTTAGATTATTGGCATTTCAAATGGGGGGGGCAATAGGTGATAACTGCCTCTGATGATCCTAGGCAAGGGTGTGCTATGAGCACAGTTACCACCAAACATACTAAGTCTCACTGTTCCTTTTTCCTGCTACCTTGCTCCATCTGAAGGCCTTTTCATATTTATGTGCCTCTCTGTCCTTGTGTATTTCTGTTCTCTTTGTCCATATGCATGTATAGATTGCTCTCAGTGTTTTTCTGCATGTACATCTCTGGCTGGGTCTTTATCTTTCTACATCACTGGGTATGTATCTAACTATCTCTTTGTCCTTTTCTGAGTGTTTCTCTTAGTCTTTCCTTCTGTTCATAACCCACTTGCTAGGATTCTCCCTCTCAGTGATTTTTATTTACTTTGTATAAACTTTACGTTTATTTATCAATGTACTTATAAGTGTACCCCAGTAGACTGTAAGCTTATTGCCAGCAAGGATTGTTTCAGGTTTTATCTTTTAATCCTCAATGTTTGATACAGATTTTTATCTCTCTTGAAAGGCAGAAGGCATGCTGCATTGTCAAATGCTCCAGAGTCATGACTGGTTATTTTCAACATGCATTTATTAAATGCCTACTATATGCCAGATGCTGAGGATATCAAGACAAAACCAAAACAATTGTCATATATGAGGAACTTCTTTGTCCTGAGGGAACAAATCCTGGCTCTACCAGTTGGGGAGACACTACTTGCAAAACCTGGGGTAAGCTACTCTTTGGACCTCTGTTTCCTCAACTATAAAATGAGGGGGTTGGAATATGAGGTTCCTTCCAGTTCTAACTCTATCATCCTAAATACACAGAGAAGGCATGTAATATATGCTTACTGAATTGAATTGTGTCTTTATTATCTCTGTCATCTTTCTTCCTTTTCTTCCATCCTTCTTTTCTCCCCATACTTAAAAAAATTCTTTATCAGAGAATTGAAGTGTATTTCTTAGTTGTTGATTTTGTCAAACATTGTTTTGTTATTTGATTTTAATTTTAAAAATAGAGAAGTAGAATAATTAGTGTTTCTTTTTTTTAAATAAAAGTGAACTGAACTAAGTGGCTATTTTTTAAAAAAAATGCAGGAGGCCTTTGACAGAAAAAAATGCTTGCCACCACTGCCCTAGTTGACATAAAGAAAAATTCTGACAGGAAGATGCTCACTATATTCAATTGAGAATGATTTTAATGTATCATAGTTAAAATTACATGGTTAATTGATTATGTTCAATTTTTCATTTTGTGTATTACATGAATCTGCTAGAGTAACCAGTGTCAAAAATTCAAATTTTGGATCCTCACATAAAAAATAGCAAACAGGGTCACATAACCTTTTATTAGTTGCAACAAGTACAAAAAAAACCCCAAGACATTTTCAATACAGTACCCCCTATACTAGGAGTTGCCTGAGTAGTAATTGTATCTATGAAAAGTGTATGAGATGAAAAGCTGAACTTAATTTGTAAAATTAATGATCTTATGACTTGACATTCAAGTATCGCAATTAAAAATAATTACAAAAACATTGTGGTTATCTATAATGAATGACATCATAGCCAATTATTACAGAGGGTTCAGAAAACAAAATAAAAACAGCAGGTATTAAATTTAAGGGATCAATAAAGGGAAGCATAATAAACAAGAATTGTGCTAGAGTAATAAATCTTTCTTGCTCTGAGGGATCCTAAGCTTCTAACAGTCTTCTTAGTTGTTGCTTATTTTTTCCAGTCTTTATTAAAGGAATTT